CAGACTCACACCCAGAGGCTGAGAAAGCCACCGTCAGCAAAGAGGTGAAGAGAGAGACGGGGAGAAGAATAAAAGATAAGTGAGGAAGAGCCCGCCAGATTCACACAGAGGGCAAGGCGGAGAGACAGGTACCGTCCAGGAGACCGGGAGTGGCTGAGCCCGAGAAGGAGAGGACTCAGGCGGCAGGGAAGGCAGGCACAGACAGGGACAGTGAAGACAGAGGGTGGGAGTGGACGCAGAATGGCAGGAATATGACCCAGAGAGACCCAGAGAAGAGCCAAGGGGAGCCTGAGAGGCAGAGTGAACGGAGGGAGGCAGGGTGGGAGGGGGCAGGTAGTGGGACCGTAGATTTTGTTCCAAACCTCGCTTCCAGACCATCCTGGGGCCCAGGACAGGTGGTGGGGAGAGAAAGCAAGCTCGGTGCTTCGCGTGTATGATACAGGCTGATTGGGGAGGGTTAAGCTGGTCAGTGACCACCCAGGCTCCCTGCAGCACGCCCGCTGGCCTCACACACAACCCAGGCCACCGGCCCAGGATGGCCGCCCGCCCGCCCGCCCGCCCGCCGCCAGGCTCCGGGCTGATTACAGCCAGAGTGCTAAGAGGCTCCAGACCCCCAGGCCCTGCCCCTTCTCCCTCAGCTCCCTCTTCTCCTGTACCCAGGCCCCTGGGGGGAGCAGTCCACCCGGGTTGGTCCCTGGCTGGGAGGAAGGGGCCCCCTCTCACGGTTTGGGGCTGGATGCTTCTTCCTTCTAAGCCCTCTCGGCCCGGCCTTGGTGAGACACGCTCCATGCCTGGCCTGGGAGCTCAGAAATACCGAGAGGAGGTGGGTCCACTGTGTGCAAAATGTGGGGCCGCCCCCCAGCCCCTTCAGAAGCCCCTGGGTGCTTTGCAAGCTCCGGTCTCTTCCCTAGACACCTGCACGGAGAGGCTGGGCACGGAGAGGCAGGGCAGGGGCCGGGCACGGGCAGGGGGGACCCTGGGTGAAGCTGGCCCCATCTCCGAGGAGACTTGCCTCGATTTGCAAAGAACATCTCGGGAAGGCGGCTCAGGGCCCCTTGTGCAAGCAGCAGGCGCAGGAATTCCTTGACTCCCATCCAAGCCTCCCCCCCCCCCCCCCAGCCCCTTCCCGGCCTTTCTCTCTGCTCATGACCATCCGCACCACCTCCCACCCACGGGGAGAGAGAGAAGGTCATCGCCACAGGGGCCCAGGGAGGGCAGGATCTGTGGGGTAAGAGCTGTTTACCCACCTCTGAGCCCCGAGGGCTCCCCTCTGCTCCCCTCCACGGGCCAGCAGGAACTCACAACGGCCCAGGCCCACACCACACGCCAGAGAACAGCATGGAGGGTGAATGCCAAGTCTGAGCGGCCCCCTGGGAGCAGGGTAAAGTGAGAGGGCGGGGGCTGGGGTGCCACCTGGAGGAGGAAGGAAGGCCTGGCTCTAAGGCTGGGTGGGCGCCGCCCTGCTGGGGACCTGGGCCCCCCCCCCCCCCCATCCTCCTCCTGGTCTCTGCTGAGCGGGCACAGCTAAGCCTCGGGCGCCACCCTCAGACGGCTTCATGGTACTTGTCAGAAAACCTCTCACAGCCTCCGTGTCCTTCAAATGTCCTGGCCAGTGCTGGGCACACAGCAGGCGCTCAGTAAGTGCCTACACAACTCCATGCAGGCCCCTCCAGCCCCGACTGAGCCTCCCAAGCCAGTGCTCTCTCCCCTCCCCAGGCTCCCCTTCGGACGGACGGACGGATGGACGGCGGAGTGGGGGCGGGGGCGGAGGTGGCGGGGGGGTTGAGGAGCAGGTCAGGCGCTCCGAGCCTCTGGCCTTGACCCTCTGCCGGGAAGGCCCACAGCGAGCCCTTGCGTGAGGAGCTGCGCGCTGTGCGGCGTCTGAGACCTTGAGCCTGGAAGTTTATTTTGGGCTTCGCAGCGCCAAAGTGGCAGATCCCAGAAACCCTGTTCCCTGGCTCGGCCTTGCTCTCCAGTTAAGTGGCTGAGAGCGGCTCTTGCCGTCAGCTGGCTCCTGCCGCCGGGGCTGAGGGAGGGGGAGAGGAGGAGGAAGGAGTGGAGCCCCGCCCCGGACTGTCCCCGCCGGGGCAGCGGTGGCCTGTGAGCCCCGGGGGGAGACCTGTCCCCTCACCCCCTTTCCTCCATTTGGAGCTGCTCTTTCCGGGGGGCCCTCAGCTCAGCAGCATGCTCTGGTAGCTGAGCATCTGTGTTGTGCCAAGACACAGTCCCACTTGACCGTGAAGACAGCCGAAGCCAAGGGAAGGGCCTCATCAGTGCGTTTGGGGCCCGTGGGGGTGAGTCCACCCACGGCTGGGGCCGATGTGGTCATCCACACCCGCCCTGCGGCCTCGGCCCATGTGCCACACCCAGGCCTGAGCGCCCAGCGGGCCGGGGAGGCCCAGCATCCAGGTGGGGAGGGCTGGGAGGAGGGGAGGGGGCGGTCCAGGGGAGGGGGGCGGCCCCTCCTCTCACCTGCCCCTCTCAGGAGCTCAGCATCAGGTCTCCCACACTGAGACCCAGGACAGGGGACAGGGGGCAGGGGCGGGGGCAGAGGCGGCTAGCGGATCTCTGTGTTCAGTCCTCTCCCGCTCCCACCCACCTTTCCCCCCCAGAGGCAGGCACCTCTGCCTGGCACACACGGGCCACCCCTGCCCCCGCCCGGACCCCTCTGCTCCCCTCCAGCCTCCCCGCTCCGGCCGGCTGGCCCTCCGAGCTCCGCGGACAGGTCTGTGCGGGCTGCGGGGCCTCCTGCAGGCCTTCGGCGGTGCCTTAGTGAGACCGGCTGGCTCACCCGGTTACAACTCTGCTTTGTCCTCCTCGTGGGGTCCCTACACACCATCCTGTGTTTTACTCAGGATGTTTCCTGTTTGTTGTCCATCTTCTCCCCGTGAACAGCAAGCTCCATGAGGGCAGAGACTGTTCTGCTTTGCTCACTGGGTGTCCTGGTGCTGAGCATGAGGCACGTGGTAGGAATAAGTATTGGATGGATGGATGGATGGATGGATGGATGGATGCACTCGGGCCCCTGACGCAGCGAGTGGCTGAGGAGTGAGAGTGGGGACAGGGGATAAAGGTCCCGCTGAGCCCTCATCCTCCGGCTCAGCCCCCGGGGTGTCCCTGGCTCAGCCTCCGGGGTGTCCTCTGGGGTGTCCTCCCGCTCAGCCTCCGGGGTGTCCGGGGCTCAGCCTCCAGCCTCCGGGGTGTCCCCGCTCAGCCTCCGGGTGTCCGGGCCCAGCTGCGCCCTGTCCGCTCACACCCGGCGTCTCTCACACCCCGAGGAGACCTGACAGTGCCTGGGGTGGAGGGGTGAGCGCGTTGTTTACACCAGGCTTTACGGTTTAGATAAGTCAAGGGGAGAGGCAGAAAGACACCTGCAAGTGAGGGGCGAGCGGGAGAAACTGAGGCCGGAGAGGGGTTGGGGCCAGATGTGTGTGTGTAGGTGTGGGGGGGAGAGATGTGTGTGGGGCGGGGGGTGTTTGAAGGGGACAGGAGGGGTGTGTGTGTGTGTGTGTGTGTGTGTGTGTGTGTGTATGTAGGTGGGGGGAGAGGTGTGTGGGGCGGGTGGGAGGAGTGGGGGTGGGGGTGTGAAGAGTCACTTTCACCTCCTACCCCTTCCGGGTTTGCCGCTGTCCCCAGGCAGAGTGGGAGGGAGGAGAGAGGGGAGAGGGAGAGGGGAGGAGGGGAGGGAGGGAGGGGGGAGGGGAGGCGGGAGGGAGGGAGGGGAGGCGAGAGGGAGGGAGGGGAGGCAGGAGGGAGGGAGGGGAGGCAGGAGGGAGGGAGGGGAGGCAGGAGGGAGGGGAGGGGGGAAGGCAGGGGGAAGGGGAGGGGGGAAGGCAGGGGGAAGGGGAGGGAGAGGAGGGGAGGGGGGAGAGGGAAGGGGAAGGGAGGCAGGAGGGAGGGGAGGCAGGAGGGAAGGGAGGGAGGGAGAGGAGGGGAGGGGGGAGAGGGAAGGCGAGGGGAGGCAGGAGGGAGGGGAGACAGGAGGGAGGGAGGGGAGGCGGGAGGGGAGGAGGGGAGGCGGGAGGGAGGGAGGGGAGGCGGGAGGAAGGGAGGGGAGGCGGGAGGGAGGGGAGGAGAGGCGGGAGGGAGGGGAGGGAGGGAGGGGAGGCGGGAGGGAGCACTGGGGAGGAGGAAGGGGGGGAAGGCGAAGGAGAGGCATGGCTCCGGGTTCCCCCCTCCGGCAGGACCCCATCCGCCCCTGTTGGGGCGCGGGGAGCCGCCCAGCTGTTTCTGATTCTTTCCCCCTCGCAGCCCCGGGGCGGGGGGGGGGCGCCGGGAACCGGGGAGCCTGGGCTGAGCCCGCGGTGAGGGGTCCGGGCGCAGGTGCGCCCCTCGGTCCGGCCGCCCCGGTCGGCGGCGGAGGGAAGCGGGCCGGGCGGGCGGGGGCGGCGGCGGCCGGAGCCCGAGGAGCCCCCGCCCGGAGCCGCTGCCCCGCCCGGTTGGCGCGGCCGAAAGGAGCGGGAGCCCCCGCAGCTCGCCCATCCCGCCGCTTCCCAGCGGCGCCGGACGGAGAGGCCCGAGCGCACGGGGGCGCCCCCTCCGCTCGGCCCAGTGGCCCGCGGGCGGCGGGGGTCTGCGGGCTCCGCTGGCCGGCGCCGCGGGCTGGGCGGGGGCGGGGCGCTAGGACCCGGGGGCGCGGGGCTCAGAGGGGCGCCCCGGGGCCCGCGGGCAGGTGGGCGCGGGGGGCGCGGAGCGGGGCCGGGGCCACACCTCGGGCGCCGCGGGCGGAGCCGCCTGAGCCGCGTGTCCCGGCCCCGGCCCCGCCCCGCGCCGTCCAATGAGGGCCCGGCCGCGGGGCCTCCGCACTCCGCCGCCGCCCCGTCCGCGCCGGCCCCCCGCCACCCGCGCCCGGCGGTGCGCCCCGCTCCGGAGCCCCGGCCCGCGCCCCGCGCCCCGCCCGGGACCCGGGTGCCTGGGTGCCCAGCGGCCGCCGGCCCATGGCCCCCCCGGGGGGTGAGTAGGGACCGGAGCGCCCGGCGGAGCCCCCGCCCTCGGGCGCTATGCGGGGGCGGCGCGGTGCGGAGGACGCCGCGCAGCTGCCCCCTCGGCGCGCCCGCGCCCCGCGCCCCGCGCCCCGGCCGGCGGCCCCCGACGGCGCCCGGGCCGCCGCGCGCCTGAGCCTCGCCTGCGCGCTGCTGCTGCTGCTGCTCACGCTGCCGGCCCGCGTGGACACGTCCTGGTGGTGAGTGGCTCCGGGGCCGGAGGCCGGAGGGAGGAACGGCCGCTCAGACCGGGTGAGAGACGCTCCGGCGCGGCTGTCACTGCGGCGGCGGCGGGTGCAGGGTCCCGCAGCACGGACGCCGGGTCGAGGCTCCCCAGAAGCCCAGCTGCCTGCCGTGCCCAGATTTCAGCCCAGCCCCTTCAGGGCCAAAGCCACCCCCCAGGGCGGATTCCAGAAAGCAGCCGCCTGTCTGGGCCTTCGGGGACCGTCCAGCAGGAGCCCCGTCCCCGATGGCCGTGGCCCGGGCGGTGGAGAAGCGGGCGCGCGCGGTGGAGGAGCCTCTTCCTGGTCCCCCATCCGGTCACGCAGCAAGGCCTGGGGGCGGCGGCAGTGCCCGGCCAAGGGTTAGAGCGGATCCAGGGCCGAAAGCCGACCCCATTCACCCCCACAATTAAGACAAAACCCGGGGCTTGCACAACTAGGCACTGCTTTCAGGCTCCGTTTTAGGGACGTCAGTTCGAACCCTGCTATCTCCTTTTGGGCTTCCTTCTCTTCTTCCCACGTCTCTTCTCCCCTCCGGGAACGAGGCGCCCTGGCCCCCAAACCCTGAGACCGTCCCCTCAGATTTCTTGCAGGCCTTACGCTCCAGACACTTCCCAAGAGCGAGGAGCCAAAAGGCGTTACAAAATGACTCCGTGCCTGTTCTCCCAGCCCCTGGGTGGCCCTGGTCTCCCCCTGGATGGGCAGGGGGAGCGCTGGGCTGGGGAAAGGCTCAGTCTTCTCATCTTTCCTCTTCACCCCCCAAAATGGTCTCTTGGCCTGGGTTTCTGCCCCTCTGTGCCCATGCAGCGCCCGCCTTCCCGTCTTCACTCTGCCCCCTCCACCTCCGAGTGCGGTCTCTCTCCCCTTCCACCCTGCGGCTTCCTCCCGGACTCGGAATCTTGGCTGCAGGGTGAGGGTACCGGCTGCGGGGCCGGCGAGCTTGGGCGGCAGATTCCTATCATTTCAAGATGCGTCTCTCACCACCACCCCCAACCCCGTTTTCCTGTTTCAGAAAAATCTCTTGGATTTTTTTCTTTTTCTTTTTTTTATCTCTGCAGTGTTGTGGAAGGCAGGGAGGGGGGTTCTGGATGGGGGAGAAGGGAGGCCCATATCTCCCATCTGGCTTGAAACATTCCTTTAGAAAGGGAAAGGGAAAGGGAAGAAGGGGGCTGAGGGGAAGAGCCTCTCACAGTTCAGAGTGGGCCCACAGCCGTCCTCAGGGGCCGGCAGAGGAAGGGTGAAGTGGCCGCTGCACATCTTGACCGGCCCAGAGGGCAGTTTGCGTTTAGGGAGTCCCGATGCCTGCCTTCCAGTGTGGGGTGCTGTCTTGGGGGCCATGTGGTGTTGAGGTGAGGAAGTATGGGGTCAGTCTGGGAGTTTCAGCATGCTAGGGGTGGTCCCCAAAACCCATCTGGAATTCTTCCTAGTCCCCATTTTGTCCCCGTGGCGACTGTCTCCGCCTTTTCCTCTCTCTCTACTACATGCCCCCCACGTGGTTCATATGAAAGGTTTTGGGGAAAGTCCTGGGTGGGAAGCAGAGATCCAGCAGTCCTGGTGTTGGGGGAAAGGGGAGGAGGAGGCAGCAGCAGGCCAGGATGGGGAGGGGCGTGAGTGCAGAGGGTATTCCATCTCCTGGCTGCATACTGCACACTGGCAGCACCACTTCTGGGATACAGTGGAAAGCTGCTTTCCAAAGGCTGGTCAGGCCCCCAAGGGGGTTCTCTTTCCCATAGGAAAACCCCAGCAAGACGGCCTCAGTGCAGTCCCCAGAGGAGAGGCCACTGCTGTGTGTGTCCCTGTTCCACTCTGGAGCAGCCATCGCTCTCACAGCGATGAGCCTGGGACTGGCTGCTCTTCCTGCCAGCCCTTCCCTTCTTTCCACCCACTGCTTCCCTCTGCTCCTCTCGCTGGAGGAGGCAGTGATGGGCTCTTCGGAATCTGTAACCAACAAAAACGGGCTCCTGACGTGTGCTTCCCTATTCCGTTTTGCACGGGTGGGACATGTCGTGAATTCACAAAGGGAGGGAAACAGAGTGGCATCACGTTAGCATTATTCCTGCCGTGTGACGAGCTCTTACTGAGCTCCAGACACTACGGCTAAACACATTATGACATCGTCACCTCCAGTCCCCCAGTAATCCAGCATGGCAGGTGCTGCTGTTGTCCCTGTTTCACATAAGGAGGGAGGGAGGAATAGAAGGGAATGGCATTTTGAAGTCAGATGGGCCCATCCTGGCTAAGCCTCCTTGGAGTGAAGATGGCCTTGGACTCTGGAGTCCACCTAATTCTCTGACTTGCTCTGATGGACGGAGCTGGCTGTGATCACTCACTCTTCCTGGAACCTCAGTTTCTTCACTTGGTAAAAGGAGACAGATCTCTTTGTCATAGGATGGTTGTTGTGGAAAAACGTTTTATAAACTGTAAGGTACCATATAAATGATGTGGCATTAAGAGATTAAGGGACGGTAATAGTTTATCCCTGTGTTCAAAGCTTTGCATGAGTTGAACTGAACCACGTGCACTAGGGACTATAAAAAAAAAAAAAAAAAAGGAAAAGAGGCTCCATTAACCAGACACAAACAAAACATGTGCAAATATGCTGGCCACGTCCATGAGGAGTAATGCTGTGATTGAAATGAAGTTTGTGACTAGCTAGGGGGGTGGGGGGAAAGGAAGGGGTATATCAGAGCCGTTAGGTTTATTCAGCAAGTAGTGACTGAATACCTGCTACGTGCCACACGCTGTTCCCGGCACCGGGGATACTGAAGTGAAAACGGACACAAGTCCCTGCCTTCACGGAGCAGGGCACGCAGACCACCTGGGGCTCCAGTAAGGGGCGGCCTCTGACTCAGGGGGCCTGGGCTGGAGCTGAGGCTCTGCACTGCCGGCAGCTGCCCCGGCGATGTGAATGCTGCCGTGCTGGGCATCACACTCGGCGTAGCAGGGGCTCTGAGAGCAGGATAGGCGTCACTTTGTCAAAGGGAGGGACGTAAATGGGTCAAAAGCAGGTGAAGAACACACTCTGGGGCGGGAGGCTGGGAAGGAAGGGAAACTTCTGGATGGGTGAACAAAGCTAGAGGGTCAGGATATCTCCCCGCTACCGCCTGTGGCCCGGGATGCCTTACACACCTCTGATTCTAACGCAGAGCGGAGTGCTTGGCACATGTAGGAATTGTGCAGGCATGTGCTGAGAGGGGCCTGGCTGGGGCTCAGCTCAGTTTTATTGGAGGTCCCCACACCAACTACCAGGGCTGGCCGCGGTCAGCAGGCATGCGCCCTGCTCTGTGGGATCTTGAAGCCATGAGGGGGGTAGTAGGAGAAACACATTTATTCTTCCCACCTTAGACACTGAACAGATGTTCCCACATTCAGTGAGGATGTAACAAGAAGGACCAGTGTGGGCTACAGCAGAATGGATTTAAGTCAGACCACAGGAAGGACTTTTTTGCCAGAGTTTGGTTTGCCTCACTCCATACTGTCTCACGGGGGCTGGATTACTGGTCTCCCATTCCCATCCAGCCTTCCTCCTCCCAAGCCCCAGTGAAAAACAAACACCCATGGCAAGGGGCAGGACGCGGCCGAACCGGGGAAGCAGAATGGTGGTGAGCCAGGGACGAGCTCCGACGCCACAGCTCCACGTCTCCCAGCTCCAAACAAAGCACCGCAGCGGTGGGTGGGACTCCGGGCCGTGCGTCAGGGGCCCTTTCCGGCCTGGCCCAGCGGGGTGTTTATTTGGTTTGTTCCTGGAAGCTGCTGCCCTGATGGACAGGGCCGGGGACGCTGATTCCATGGGATTTCTCTGTCTGGTCAGCCCGCTCCCCCCTCCCCCGGGACAGATGGGCCCCATCAGCCTGCCGAGTTCCAGAAGAGGCATCAGCCCTCCTCGTGTTTGAGTTGGTATCACCAGGGGTGATCCAGTCTGTGGGTGAGGGCGGAGTGTGTGAACTGGGGGGACGGGGTACCCAGAGCCCAGGGCCGCCCAGCTTTTCCCCTTTATCCACCGGCCACCCTCCCTTCTCCGCACCCACTTCTAGGTCCGTCTGGGGAGCTTCCCCGAACCAAAGGCTCCTTCCCAACCCAAAATCTCTTGTTTGTAGCAGGCCCCCACTTGCTTTATTTTTTCAGAAAGAGGGAGAGAAGGTGTGCCTTGATGTGTTAGGACAGGAGAATGGTGAATTCCCAGCAAATCAAGAAAGGTGTTGGAGAGAGAAAGGAAATGAGGAGTGGGTGAGTGAGTCAGACCTCATTTGGTGGCCTTGTGGGGAGAAAAAGTGATGATACATTCTGGTCTTCTTCCGGAGGCTGGTGGTGGAGTCTGGGCTAAGAGTGTTTGAATGAAAGGAATGCCGGGAAAAATCTGAGGAGGACTCTGCCAACCTTCCTATCTTTTATTTTATTTTAAATATATTTTATTGATTTTTTTACAGAGAGGAAGGGAGAGTGATAGAGAACTAGAAATGTTGATGAGAGAGAAACATCAACCAGCTGCCTCTTGCACACCCCCCACCGGGGATGTGCCCACAACCAAGGTACATGCCCTTGACCGGAATCGAACCCGGGACCCTCCAGTCCGCAGACCGACACTCTACCACTGGGTCAAATCGGTTTCGGCCCCCTATTTTTTAGTAGCCAAACGATCTTCTTATAATAGTTCATACTGGGCAAACTGGGGGCTGGAATATGGGGAGTGTCACCCACTTGCTTTATCTTGGCCTTTGACTTCCCACAGCAACAGCCCTCTGCCCACGCAGGACACCCGCCCTGTAAGCTGGGGAGAGGGTTTTGAAAGAATCAAGACTCCTAAGCCACAAAAGGCCGTGGCTGGAAACAGAGTGTGGGGGGAGAGCTGGGAGCGGGTCTCCTCCCCCCCCCCCATCTCAGCGCCGGGAATGAGGATCTCGGCGCATGGGTCTGACTAGGGCTGAAAACATTCCTCAGAGCTGCCCTTGCTGTCTCTTCCCACTGGCCCCTCCCTGTCTCCATCCTTCTTCCCCCAAACCATGTCTTCGTGGACCAGCCATGCAGGACGTGCCTCTTACATGTGGGAGTAGGAGTGTTATCTCAGACTCGTTTTGTTAGTTTATTTTTCCATGAGGCTCTTCATGTTTGTTAAATAAACAGGCAATGGGTTTATGTGACATGCCCGCAGCTTTGTGTGTGTGTGACACATGCCTGGCCTGTGTTCCGGGAGTGTGTGTCACTTTGGCCTTTGGCAGGGGAACTGTGATGCTAGGAGACCACTCATTACTCTCTCTCTGCAGCTGTAGGACTGTTTATCGGAGCTGGTGGGGACCGGTTCTATCCGTCAGCCTCAGGGAATGTGGGCCAGGGAAGGGAAGGCGCCACTCCGAGGTGTGAATGCCAAGCCTGTCCTGATGCAGAAAAAGGGTCGGGACTCTGACAGGGCCGTCTCCACCTTGCAGGTACATCGGGGCGCTGGGAGCCCGAGTGATCTGTGACAATATCCCTGGTCTGGTGAGCCGGCAGCGGCAGCTGTGCCAGCGTTACCCAGACATCATGCGCTCGGTGGGCGAGGGTGCCCGAGAGTGGATCCGAGAGTGTCAGCACCAGTTCCGCCACCACCGCTGGAACTGCACCACCGTGGACCGGGACCACACCGTCTTTGGCCGTGTCATGCTCAGAAGTAGGGGCCCCTTCCCCTCTGCCCAGCTCTTCCCTCCCTGCCTGTGCTTGGGGTGGTGAGTGGGTAGGGCAGGCGGGATCCCCTCTCCCGTCTCCTGCACACTTTTTCATACTCAGAGGAACGGTTGTGGGCCGACCACAGGATACAGTTGGGAACAGACCCTCAGTACTTAAGATAGTAGCCAGGGTCCTTCTAGGTCCCAGGATTCTGGGATGTAGGGACAAAGGAGTGGCATTCCATCTTCCTTCCTCCTCTCCCTTCCTCCCCAGCCCCCAGCATTGTCAGGCTGAGGACTGGGTTCTTATCACACGATCGCTGCCCTCACTCTAATACTCCCAACACTACAGTAATGGGAGCAAAGGATAAACAGAAAGGTGATACATAAATATTTGGAGAGTCAGCGGCTTAGCCCCAGCTCAGCAATAAAGCTAAGCAGAGGCTTAACAGTCAACTAGGAAGAAGGGAATGAGGTGGGAACCCGAAGGTGTCAGAGGGACAGGAGAGATGGGTCACTGATCTGGGAGAGCACAGAGGGAAGGAAACAGGCGGGAAAGTAGCCTGTCACTCCAAATGAGCTGACCCCTGGGCCGGGGTGGCCCCTGTTGGGAACTGTCCAGCAGAGTGGGCCTGAACAGGCTTAGCTGGGCCAGGACTGCACTCAGTCGGAGGGTGACTCACCCTGACTTGCTCATGGATATATCCAAGGAGTTTGGAAGGAAGCAAGAGCCCGGGTCAGCCCAAGAGGCCAGATGTACAAAGAAGTGATGGGAAGTAGTGAGGGCTGGGGGAGGAACCAGGCAGTCTGCAGATGCTCCTGGAAAGAAGGGCAGTTTGAACAGAGGGCACAGGGGCTGCTCCAGGAGGAGAGACTTCCCAGTCGCGGTTCTGTGGGCCTCCTTGCCGAGACACTCTTCTCCCTCCTCTCCAGGCAGCCGGGAGGCAGCGTTCGTGTATGCCATCTCGTCCGCAGGGGTAGTTCATGCTATCACCCGCGCCTGTAGCCAGGGGGAGCTGAGTGTGTGCAGCTGCGACCCCTATACCCGCGGCCGACACCATGACCAGCGTGGGGACTTTGACTGGGGTGGCTGCAGCGACAACATACACTATGGCGTTCGCTTTGCCAAGGCCTTCGTGGATGCCAAGGAGAAGAGGCTCAAGGACGCCCGGGCCCTCATGAACTTACACAACAACCGCTGTGGCCGCACGGTCAGTATCCATGTCTGTGCGATGCCTTCCTCTGTGCCGGGGGCGCTGTGTGATCCCGGACTGAATGTGGAGGAGGAGTGCAGACGGCTCTGGGTCACTTCCAAAAGACCCGACCCCTTGGGTCAGGAGCAGTAAACACAGGAAGCTTGCGAATGCCGAGGTGCAGCCAGGTACACAGAGTCCTCACACAGGTGGTAGGCAGGGGGAGGCGAAGAAAAGCAGGGCAGTAACGCTTTAAGAAGGAAAAAGCTGCCTCCATGACGACTGAGGAGGAGAAGGGCTTGTTCTGGTCAGTCACTGGTCTCTGAGCGTGTCCTCTGTGCCTGGTCCTTGCTGGAAAGTGACATGCCACAGAAGGAGAAGGCATGACACCCTGAACTCCAAAATGCGTGATGTGCCAGCGTCCTGAAATCATAAACAGAATCCTGTGGCCCTAACGGTCGAACGGCCTATCGTAAAAAGGACACGGTTGGTCCAGGAAGGCTTCCTGCATTTGATCAGGAAGAATGGGTGGGATTGGTAGGGAAAGACCAACCACCGGCTGCACTGGTTAGCCAGGATCAGGGCCGAAGAGGGCAGAGCACTCATGCTTTCAGTCCTGGGGGTGATGAAGGGCCCTGACTGGCTGCCTCCTTTGCCTGCCTCCCCCCCCCCCCCCAGGCCGTGCGGCGCTTTCTGAAGCTGGAGTGTAAGTGCCACGGCGTGAGCGGCTCCTGCACGCTGCGCACCTGCTGGCGAGCGCTCTCGGACTTCCGCCGCACCGGGGACTACCTGCGGCGGCGCTACGACGGGGCAGTGCAGGTGACGGCGACCCAGGATGGCGCCAACTTCACCGCAGCCCGCCAAGGCTACCGCCGCGCCACCCGGACCGACCTGGTCTACTTCGACAACTCCCCAGACTACTGTGTCTTGGACAAGGCTGCAGGTGGGTAGAGAAAGCAGATGGGGGTCCAGCTCTTAGTCCCAGCTCCCCTGGGTGGTCACGGTTTGTTCAGCCTCGGGAGTTAGGGAGGGGAGCTGCGGGAGGAGTTAGTCTCCTCCCGATAGGAAAACCTCATACTGAGAATGGTGATTTATGCCTCAGTCCGCCAGGCCCAGTGCGGCCCCAGCAGAGAGGAGAGGGCGCTCAGCTCCGTCGGGCCTGAGGTCCATGTGGTTACAGACATGGTAGATATCACTCAGTGAACGTAAATAAGTCCCCTGTTCTCAGTATCTCAGTACTGAGCAATGCATGGACCACACCGAAGCATAAGATGCAGCCCAAGTCATTGGCTCTTTACAATTTAGCTAAGAAATGAGATGTAACAGGTAGACAGATGCAACTGCAAGAGAGACAACTGGAGAAACCAAGAGGAGCTGAGCTGCGACTGTGGACTGTACGCTGTTTCTTGAGGTGGGGTTATCTGGGTGCTAGAGAGGACAGGGGGCGTCGTCTACACAGAGCACAATGGTAGAGGGTGCACGATCTGTTTCAGGAACAGATTAATATCCCGAGTGGAGAGTTCGAGTGAAGGAGATTAAAGGCAGAAGGACAGTTGGGATCAGACCATCAGTGGCCTGGAAGGCTTTATCCTGTTTAATGGGGGGCTCGGGAGGCAAGGAAAACAGGTTTCTGCCAAGGCGAACCACTGGCGGGAGCAGCAAACATCTGTGCCACATATTGTGGTGGGATTGTTGGGGGTGCTGAAAAGTGATATGGTGTTACCCCAAAAGAATGGAAGTTACCGTCTGGGCCATGTGATGACTATTTGAACTAAGTTTAAAAATTTATTTAATTTTAATTCTTTTAACTCTAAATGAGCACATTTGGCTATTGGCTACTTACTACACCAGATAACTCAGCTCCAGAGGGGAGGGGAGACTTCTGATGCCAGGAAGAACTTAAGACCCAGCCCTTGCCATTATGAGAGTAACATGCATAGACCTAGCCAGCCCATGCCCCAATCTTGACATTTGGATTGTATATTTCTAGTGTATTAAAAAACTAGAGCATTCATCTCCAATATATGCATATTTACTTATAAACTCCATCTATGTTCCACTATACTAAGATATATATTATAAACAATACAGAATCCATATTTTAAATTGATGAGGTAAAAAACAAATATAGAGGTTCTTGTATTTTCTTCTCAGATCCCAGTGGAGTGTCAGACTGCTACTATAGAGATCAGTTAACTGATTCCCCTTCTTGAACCCCCAGGCCAGGCTAGTGTTCCCATCTCTGGGAAAGTGCTAGAGGAGATACTGCCTAAGGTCCATCCAGAATCATTTGGCTTTTTGGTCTGTTGACAGGGTCTCCTGTGCTAACATCAGTGAGAATGAGGTCCTGAGCATCATCTGTGCAGAGGGAAAGCATCTCCCCTACCCTTCAAGAGTTCCCCACTGTGGGATCGTTAGGAATTCCTTAGGGGTGTGCTTCCAGCCAGTCATGCCAATCAGTTCACCTCCTCGCTGAACAGAGACTGTAGATATAACCCAACAATCCACTGAGTTAGATGCCATTATGGTGCCTATTGTCAGATGGGAAAAACAAAGCCCAGAGAGATTAACTACTATAAATCACAAAGCTAAAAGTGGCTGAATGGGATTTAAACCTAGACACTGAAACCAGGCCCAGCTTTTAATGGCCATACTATACTCCTTCTCTGTATAGTACAACTTAATAAAACATCAACTACGGACCAAAATACTAACCAATAGTAGCTGGATCAGAGTTGTGACAAGAACTCTTGGAAAAGATAAATTATAGGCTGTTATTTCTTTTAACTCCTTATTATGGGAAAACTCAAGCATAAAAGAGAGGGCCTTCAGCCAGGTGCACAATAACAAGATTTTAAGGCGAGGCTTTGAGGGGCTCTGGAGATGTGTGCTGGCAGGGGGCCCGGCAGGTGAAGTGTCTTGGGGTGGTCTTGCTGGCGGGAGGAAGTGAGGCTGGTGTAGAGGGCCGTGAGGAGATGATCGTTTTGGCCAGTGGGTATATTTTCAGGAAAGGAGATTCTTTATGGTTTCTTCGGAGAATGTGGATAAGGGAACCCAGAGCAGCTGAAGTAAGAGGTACCTTGGTTCTCTCTCTCTCTCTCTCTTCCCCAATTCAGGTTCCTTAGGCACTGCAGGCCGTGTCTGCAGCAAGACATCTAAAGGGACAGACGGCTGTGAAATCATGTGCTGTGGCCGAGGGTATGACACAACTCGAGTCACCCGTGTCACCCAGTGTGAGTGCAAATTCCACTGGTGCTGCGCTGTGCGGTGCAAGGAGTGCAGAAACACCGTGGACATCCACACCTGCAAGGCCCCCAAGAAGGCAGAGTGGCTGGACCAGACCTGAACATGCCAATACCTCACTCATTCCTCCACTCCAAACCTCCTGACTTGGAAGCACAAGATCTTTGCATGCACACCTTCCACCACCCTCAACCCTGGGCTGCTACAGCTTCTATTTAAGGACTCTGGTGCCTTGGCTGGTTCCTTAGCCCTTGGAGGAGTCGACAGGGACTTAAGAAACTGAGCAGCTCCGACTCCCTGCTCTGGAGGCTAGAAGGGGGGACGGAAGAGATGTAGGTGTGATATGAGTTGCACTAAAGCACGGGGTCGAGCTCGTGTCTCCTTCCCCTGCACTGGCTTTCTGACACTTCTGTGTGCGCGAGAGGAAAGGTACCGAGAGCGCTTCCTTTCGCTCCTGCCTGGCTGAGGGTAGATAGGACAGAGGTAACACCACGTATCTCCTCCCTAGGTCAGTTTGAGCAGACCGCCTGGTTTCCAAAACAACCTCTTAGGTACAACGTTCTTTCATTATGGAGAGGGAGATGAGAGTTAGCCACAGTGGACAAGATTCCATTCATATGCTTATGTGTTTCTAAACTGCTGTGTTTTGTAAGGGGAAAATTATATAACTAGGCAAACATACATTCTCTTCCCGTCGCTCTCTCCTTTTCAGCCTACATCAGGCAGCACTGCTCCCTTTGCTCACTTGCTGCCTGTTTAAATGAGTGGCAGGCAGTGATACCCATGACTACCAGATCATCAGAATTCCCTGAAACTTCCTGAGAAAGAGTAATTCAGTAAGCCTTGGGATTTTTTTTTTTTTTTTTAACTCCCCACACATTATATTGGTGGTCAGCCAGATTGAGGAAACACTGAGAAAAAGGTGTAAGACTCGTGGAGGCGGGAGAGGGCAGCAGTCCTGATCTCAAGGATCCACAATAGGCCTCTGTGTATCCTAAGCAGGTAGAGATCTCCAGCTTTGGCAATTTCTAGGAGAGGATCCTGGTAGTGGGATCCAGTGACTACAGAGGAAAGGAGAGCTGGGGCTTGGAGCCAAAGTGGTGAGCATCTTAGGAAGCAGCCTTTCCCCGATAATTTTCTCACCCCCTCAGCAAGAACATATCTTTTCGTAGCGACTCTCCAAGTCCTGGTGACGATGACTGTTGTTCCTTCCATGTTTGGCTCTCACAGAGGAGTTCCTTCCAGGCTACTACCCACTCCCTAATTCAGCTTGCGGTAGCTGAGTCTCCAGAGGCAAGCTAGAGGGTACGAAGTGAAATCTCCAAAACTGATGTCCTATTTTTATGTGACCTGAACAGTGATTATCTTCCTGCTGATATCTTAAAGGAGCAGAATACTGTAGAAATTTGCAGTTATGACAGACATGGGTTGGAATCACAGCTGTTTTTGATATTTTGAGCAAGATACTCAAACTCTCTGAGCTTCTACCTTCTCATCTGTAAAATGAGGGTATAAAACTATCTCAGATACCGAGTTTTAATTATGCTCCAAACTCTAGCCAACAGACACTATCTCCAAAGCCCCTGACTGGTCTCACCCATCATGCCTGACTTCAGAGCCTTCAACTAAGGACAATCAAGTATTGACAGCAGGCTGTGGATTCAGGGCCTACCCAAGGAATTCTGAATGTAGCCTCCCCCCTTTCCCAAGCTCCTCTCCCAACATCTCTTGGGGTCTTCACATGTCTGTGGAGCAGCTTCACTCTGCACAGGCAGCAGCAGGAGCCATAGCGTGGGCTAGGGGGGCAGATTCATTTGGACGATAGGACTAATGTTTGTGTAACCTGCAGAGACCTGTGTGGGGAGTTTGGGGTGGTTTTTCTTTTGGCAAGGGGGTTTGCTCCGATTTCACATCCATTAACACAAAACATAAGCTAGTCAGGGCCCTGTGGTCTGCGGGGAGGGGATGCCTGTGGAGAAATGGGACTGAGTGAGTCAGGCCAGGGGAATGTCTTCCTTGAAGAGTGGAGGCAACTGGATAGCTGATGAGCCAATGGCGGGATGAGGGAGGGGGCGCGAGAGGGAAGAGCTTCTGACATCTTGAACTGGGATTAGGAGGAGGAAAGCCTCAGGGTAGTGCGAAGGTAAGAGGTTACAGCCAGTCTGAACTCAATAGTAAAGTCGAATGCATTTCTAAAAGGGTGCTGTCCTGTATGCGGGGCTGCAGGGAGAGCCTCCGGGCCCGGTTAGCCCCTGCTCTCACAGAATGCCCAGGTGACCACGTTGAGTGATAGCATGGGCCTTCCATGGAACATCAAGCTGAGTTCAAGAGACTTGTCTCTGTTATCTGTTTTCCTTTCTTACCCCGGGGAGGGAATGGGCCTCTTCTGACATCTGACTGTTCTATGCTTTTCTCTGGCATCCAAATTCTGATTCATAGAGACCCACATTTTGCATTTTCCTATAATGGTTAAGCAAAGAATGAGCTATCCAGAGAGTGAGCGGTTTGAAAAGTGAGGCGGGTAGGGAGAAAAAAGAGGTCCACGTGAGCCCCGCCACAGAGGTTATGTGGCTCCAAGAAGGAATGATGGCCAAGCCATTAATTTTGCCTCTTATTCCTTAGCTTGCCTGTGCATTCCGATTGGCTTTAGACAGCTGGCGTCTATTCTGTGCTATACAAACAGAAACTAATGTATTTGGAACGAGAAGCAAAAGGAGAACTTTATTTGGTGTAGTCGGGGCTCCATGTCATTCTGCCACTGCTTACTTCCTCGCTGCCTCCAATCTCCCCTCTCCCAGCCCTCCTGTCCCTCAGACTAGCCGTCTCACAACCCCTCTCCACTCTTCCACTCCTCCCTATCGGTCCTTATTTCTTTTCACATTGAACAGTTAGGTAAAAGGCAGACAGAAGTGCTACCTGGACACAAAGATAACTTAAAAGAGGTTATCTCTATCCTTTAAGGATCTCAGAATCTTTCAGGGAAGGCATGTGACACAGTGCCCCCGCTGCCTGCCTGCAGCCAGTTTCTCTATGGAACAGAAAGGATGCCAGCCTTCACTGTGTCTTGGAGATAAGAGCCAACCTGTATTATTGCCATCCTTGAATGGCAGCTCTAATCCCTACTCTTCCTCAGAGAGATGCTGCAAAAATTCAATCAGAGACTAGACTATTTAAAAGAAGGAAGTACTGCCTGGCCGTGAGCGTCTGTTTGTGAAAAGTCCTGTAAGTCTGACTCATGACTGCTCACTGCCTCATTTCTCTTCCTCCTTAGAGCAGAGAGTAATTTCTTCTCCTTTCTCTCACCTCCCTCAGCAAGAACACCAACCGCTAAGTCCTTGCCAAATTCTCAGGCCCACTCCAGACATCGGCTTAATACAAGAGAGATTATGAGGATTTTCCCCCTCTGCTTTTCTGAGGTTTTATTTAAATGGCCTCAGTGGTCATAGGGCAGAAGCCCAAGCGAGGACACCGGGAGAGTATGTTTCTCACCCCCCCAGAGGCTCCTGCAGCCCAATTACAGCACCAGAGAACAATGTGATGCATTCCTGGGCAGGTCGGTGGGACCCTGGGCGCCTGGGCCTTGCGGAGAGAGGTGCCAGACACAGAGCTCTCCGTAAGCAATCCTGCAGAGCCGCCCCCTGGGTGCGCAGATGAAATACGGGAGAGCTTCACATTACACAGAGGCCTAGAGCTCACACCTGGTTATTGATGGCCTTGGCGGAGGCCTCTGCCCCCACCTCCACTTAAGAGCTGCCTGCTACCACGGGGGCTGGGCATCTTTGAAGCAATGTTGGAAAACAAGAGATGCTTCCTTTTCACGCTTTGCCCTCCGAGTCTGCACACAACCATGAGGAGACACATACACATGAGGTGCACCTATACGGGCATACATATACATATATGAACATACACATAGCTTCTCTCATTCTAGTCATCCTCCCCTTTCCCAGCAGCAAAAAATAAAAAAGCAACTAGATTTCAATCAAATTCTCCAAAACTCCTATCAACAGCAGAGATTCAGCTATAACCAAAGAATATTAAAAAGTTACATGCAGGCAGCTGTTTAGTTTGGGGACCAGTTGTCACCTGGGGGTGGGAGGAGAAGGAGCCAGAAAGGGATGGACAATTAGCACCCAAGTGAGGGGTCTGAGACGTCTCAGGGCTGATTCAGCTGGAAACAGTACAGTTCCTGCTCTGAATGCCGTGGATGGTGAGGCAGCCTCCGAAAGCTCAGGCGTATTGTCCTTAACTCTGTTAGGTTAGAAGCAGGGAGCTTTGGGCTCCAGAGATGATCTCTCCAAAAGGGATTGGAGGGGAGCGAGCAGTGGCTCTACCAGAGCAAATATGTCACAGTTACTGCACTGAACTGAGCTACTGTCAGGTTTCAGGCAACAGCCAGAGGGGTCTCAGTAATATCCTATCCTGCCTCCAAAGGGATAGGAGAGGGAGCGTTATATAAGCACATTTCCCCACTTCCCTTTCATGACTTAGAGGCTCTCTAAGCATCTCTGTGGCTATTCCTCCTTTACTTATGATGTTTCAGTCATCCTGGATTTGAGAAAGCCAGGTAAGCATCCCTGGGCCCCCCTCCCCTCTTCGGCCCCCTAATTGAACTACCTTAGCTTCCAATTTGCCTTTGCTCACTCCATTCTGCTGAGTCTATGGAAGGAGCAGCAGGCCACACAGTTGCCTTTCTTTGACCAAAAGGAACTGAAATCTGGAGACTTTATTTCAATACCCCCAGCCCCTATAAGCAGGCCTGGCCAGCAGAAAGGCTACACTGAGTGAAGAAAAAAGGAATACAGTTTAATCCACAGCTGTTCTACTTGACAACTTTTTCAAGGTGGGGCTTCCCCAAGGATAAACGTGGTCCTCACCCTGGCCAGTGTGGCTCAGTTGTTTGGGTGTCGTCTGGTATACCAAAAGGTTGCTGCTTTGATTCCCAGTCAAGGCCCGTACCCAGGTTGCAGGCTCAATCCCTCATAGGAAGCATGCAGGAGGCAACCAATAGCTGTTTCGTGCTCACATCGATATTTTTTTCTCTCTCTCCTTTCCTCTCTAAGGTAATTAATAAAAAATATTTTAAAATGTGATACTCATAAAAAACATTTTAATGTACAAAATGCTTTAGCACATACATAACTCTCACACCAGCCTTGTGAGGTAGAAGTTATATTCACTATACAGGTATCATTCAGAGAGTCTTGGTGATTTCTCCAAGGTCACGTTGGATATTGAGTAACTCAGCCAGAACTCAACTTATTTTTACTTCAAATCCTGTGTGCTCTTCAAAGACTGGGGATGCCTCAGGCTGGAGGCACAGAGTCCCAGCCCCTTCAGAACAAATGGGTACAAAACATCTGAGCAGAACTGACAAAAGGAACAGCCTGGGCCTGGGCCTTCTCTAACCTCATCAATGAACCCCCTTTTGCCATTTCTGCCACATGACCACTAGACTAAGTGCTCCATATTTAATCAACTCTGGCTCTTAGTTCTTTTTTCTATTCTTTTACTTCTTCAGATTAACACTTAAAAATTTGTTTTCGTTTTATCTAATTCTTTTCAAGCGACACTGAATGTAAAGAAAAGCCACAGGTTTTGGGCTTTTAATGTATGTATTAGAATTTCCTTTGAGACTTCACTCTTTTTTTAAAATGCTGACAACCGCTGGGCTAGGAAAGTAAAACAGGGAATGACAGTGCTAAAAAGCAATCCTATCCTGGGCTAGCTGCCACTCCCGGCCTAGTAAAGGTCCTGGGACCCTTAGCCAAGACAGGTAATTTATCTACACCAAGGCAAGGACTACCTACCCTGCAGAGAAACCCCTGAAGATGAGGCAGACAACAGATCTTTACTTGATCAAAAACTTTTGCAGCTCAACCCTTCCTCCCATGCTCCTTCAAAGCCTGGACTTCTGTTTCAGTCCAACACCGTGACACAAAGCAGTTCCAAGAGACGATGTGTGCAAGAGGAACCCTTTCCTGCTCAGCCCCGGAATGCATTTGTTAGAGACAGCATAAGCCCTCACACACCCTGCCTCTCCCACTCCTGCACCCCAACTGGGCAGCAGGCGGGGAAGTGCAGGAACACAGTGCTCATCAATCACAGCCCTGCGATGCTACGGCTCTGGCCCCGGCCCCCTGGAGCGAGAGGGAGCCGGCATGAAAACAGTCTACCTATAGGCAGCATCTCTCCCAGAGCAAACCTCGCTTTTTGGTCCATCGATCTTGGCTCTCGCTGCTTTCCCTGCTTTCCACCCCCCTGCCTCCGCATGTGGGCTCAGAAGTCATCATCTAAAGAATTCCATTGCTCACCTCCTGCATAGCAGCACAGCCCCATGAGGCCACACACCAGATGGAGGGGATAAAAGTACGAGGTCATGGCTTCTAGCAAGAGGCTTTTTCTTAAACTAACCCTGACTCCTGGAAGAGAGGCAGAGCAGGAGAGTGTTGGCTGAGCTGCTGACGACAGCAGCTTCATAGGTCGTGTGTAAAAAGGAGGAAAAGAGCTAACTTGTCTTTCAGTGGAAATTTCCCCACTCCCACCTCAGACCTACTCCTGGCTTCACATCTGCTTCTAGAAGGTGTCTGAGCAGAATACAGAGAATGTCAAACCAAAGGGTTAAATCCTCCCCAACTGTAGGGACCTCTCCAGCAGGCTGCCACACACATGCTGAGGTGGAGGCCAAGCCTGTTTCCCCAGGAATGTAGCTGTGAGGGAAAGGGAAAGGGAAGGAGAAAGGGCGCGGAAAGTGGACTAAAGCTCAGGGGAACCTGACAATGTTGTCAGTAGGACTTCAAAACGCTTGTGTGTAATAAACAATGACAACGGGATGGAGAAGGAGCGTCAGTTCCAGAATCATCATGCTGTCAGGTGGCAGTGTACAGAAGCAATCATTACAAAGAAACAGTTTAAGTAACCAACTGAGAAGTCTCAGAATATAGGCATCAGGGGAATGAATTTAATCAGGCTTTCTACAAGAGGTGGCTTCTGAGTTGGATTTTTAAAAGAGAAGGTATGGACAGGTTAAGGGCAGTCAGAGAGACACATTTTAAATAGAAGGAACTGGTTTATGCTGAGACTTAGAAGTAAGAATGTGCAAGCAATATATAAGGAATTTCAAGCAAGTACATATTATATACACTGGGGAATACAGAGAAATTAGAATGCTGAGATCAGGATTAAACAATGTGCGGTGACTGCATGTGCCTAGACTGTCAATGGTGCAGTCCCTTCAGACACACAGCATCTTGATCCATGTCAGTAAACACCAGGCACCTGTGGGGACGCAGTGAGTCCATTTGTTACACAAACAGGGACTAACGGAGCGCTACCCTGTAAAGCCCAACAAAATGTGAAGTACCATTAACTACAGCCCACTATCATTTGAGATTCTGGGCTAAATAGATATCAAATATCCTATCCAGAACTGTGATGCATTAATGTAGGCTGACAAGCCCAGAACCTGGCATAAATCAAGCCCAGCTCTTAAGAAATTGAAATATAAAAAAGGAATAATTTAATACAGAAAATACACACTTCTTTCCCTTACTCCCAGCCTTACAACATGATGGGTCTCCTATGCCCCGGGCACACTGGGCTTCTGTGGCTGGCAGATTCACCAGTGACGTGAGGAGGGCTCGGAAAGAACTTGAAGGACTAAAACCCACTTCCCTAATCAGAGGGATACAGTTCCCGTGCACTCGACAGGCCACTAGAGCAGCAGCTAAAGACAAGACAAATCCCAATTTCATGACTTTCAGTTAGGTCCCTGGCTTCTTGCATTTGTTGAAGACAAAGCAGAGCTAGTTATTAGGTGTCTACCACGTTTCCTAACAGAACTTCCCTAACCTCTGAGGACAAAAACCACAAGGGCAACCTGTTCTTTCACAGTCCTTCTCTGGTGCCACGTTCAGAAACAGAATATTGGGGTGTATGTTTTATACTTGTAAATATTAAACAAGCCTAAAGGTGAGCAATAGCCTGTTTCTGCTTTACTTAACCGGCACAATTTGGTACTGGAAGGGAGGCAGCCACTTAACAGCAGCAGCATTTGTTGATATCATCTTAGTTTTTCCTCCTTTCCTAGGCAGATTTTAAAAGGTGATTTCTGAAACCCTTCACAATAGAAAAGCTCAAGGGTTTACATTCAACTGTGACACGACTGAATTCATGAAGAAGCGTGTTTCAGGTTGCACTATAATTTCCCTATGTAACATAAGCCCATGGAATCTGACATAAGCTGATTGCTCATGCTGTTATTTTATTTACATTTCTGAATGGAAGGGATTTCAATACTCATAAAATATCTAACTGACTTATTATTTTTCATCTGTTCTCCCAGAGCAGCTATTATAAAATAGGCATAGAGACAGAAGGCTCAACTTGTATGACTGGTTAAGTAAGCAACCAGGGAAAAGTTACTGCTCAAAAGCAATTTTTTAAAAATTCAATAAGGAGCTTGCGGCCAAACAAGAGATATGGTTATTCTCAATGCCATCGGAAAGATAAGCGTTAAGTAACTGCATTCGTGATCTCTGTCCAACTGACTCCTATGGGAGCAGGTGGTAGCTTCACAGGAACTTAGGGGCCCACAGTTACTCAAGTCTTCCTCTAGAGACCTAGCACCAGCAGACACAATCTAGTGTACACGGGACACAGGTGAATGGGGAGAGTGGGATTCTCCTTACAACCCAGATATATAAATGTGCCTTTATGGCGTTCCCCCTATAAAAAGGGGGAAATATCCAGGATGCAGAATTGATCAGCAAAATTCAGGTTGGAAGAGAGGAAAAAGGAGCCTTATTTTAGTGTCTTAACCCAATAGTCTTTCATTATTTCTTAAAATTAACATGATTCGTGCCTATTTTCAGAATCAGTGACTGCAGGACGAATCTTTGACATTAGCAGTGGGCTCTGGGAAATTCTGAGGGGGTGGTTCATTCCCATTCTCTCTCCTCAGGGCCACGTGATTGTAGTCTTAACTTTTGCTAGCCAGTCCTGCTCACAGTGACGTCACACTGCTTCATTTTCTAAAGCAGGAGAGCCCTAATTAACCTGTCATCATTAACAATGAGAACATATAAAAGAGAAAGTTGAAGATGTATGAGTATAGAGATTTTTACCTTATGGCAACTACTGTGTGAATCTGAGGTGAGACCTTTCTTATTTAAATTTTGGATTGTGGAGTGTTTAATTTTTGATAAATTCTAAAATTTAGATAACTATAATGAATACCACAGTTTACAAAACACCTGAGCTTCACCAGTTAGGTGTAAAGATGAAAGTCCTCTTAAAAATATATAAAAATAAAGAGATCTTTTTCTATCTCCTTTTATCTGACTGAAAGGAATTCTAACCAAATAAATTCTTCTAAAAGGAAAAATGTTCATGAGCCTAAATTGACTTTTTGGGTCACTAAATCTTGTGTGAGGCACATGAAAATAATCCATTGATCACTTAAACTCAAATGAATAAATAGGCAAAGATGAACTAATCTATTGCTGTGACAGTAGCCTCTGTCTTATACTGATACATCTCCTGCCTTCCTCAGACCTCCTACCACTAGACTATCAGTTACTTGTGAATTAGGATTGTATTTTGTACTTTGCAAAGATGCTCAATAATGATCTGTTGATTGAATCAATAAATGAACAAATTCATTAGTATTAGTATCTAAATATAATGAATTAAAATGTCAGAATAATTATTACCATATTACAGGATGTCATAAAACAATAGTTAACATTTTTCAATGCTGAGGTTCTTGAATAACTAAATTTTAAAAACAAATTAAGCTCAATTGGAGTCCTCCATTCAATAAGCCAATACTGAAAGAAGAATTTTTTCGGGGTATCCAGGATGAACCAGTTCTAGTGCAGTTGTTTTAAAAGGATATATTACAATAGCTAAAGTACACAAAGAGTAAATTAAGGGAAGTCTACAAAGTTATGGCTTAGTTGAATTGGAGTGCCTGGACTCCCCATAAGGGCTAAATCCCAAAGGGATCAGAGTCAAGTAAATAAAAACTCCAGCTGAATTTTATCAGAGGGCAGAGTTTCAATTCTGAGTACCCCAGCAACCCAGGAGGAATTATGTGTAAGATTAGTAAAGTGCCTTCATCCACCCCCAGCCAGAGAACATTCTTCTATCTCGCCGTAGCTGCAGGGAAAACAGCAGCGTGTTTGCCGCCAACAATCCTTGCAGCTCTTCTCTAGATAGGAGCCTACTAACATGGAGAGATTAAAATTTAATTTAAAGCTGCCGCTACCTGGGAGTAAAAGCTTGAACTCTGGCTTCAGAAATAAATTGGGACTCCAGCATATTGTATGGATGAAAACAACAGCTAGCGTGTTACTAACAGAGTGTGAGAATATGCTCCCTTGCTAAATTCTTTTCCAAACAACAACTCCTCCTCCTCCTCCTTCTCGTATCATATGGTTATGTGCAAGAGTGCTCAATGGGAACACAGCCCTTCCTGTACTTTGAACAGTACATGTACATTTTGTTTCCAGGATGCCTGAAATTATAGGATGAGATCAGAGGGTGGTTATGTGGTCTGGATTTCCCTGAGTATCAGTTCTCTTAATTTTATTGAGCATCATCTGAAGCCCAAATAATTTATTTTCTTGAAGTTGGCTGTCAAGATGGGCCTAAGGCAATCTTAATGTTATTACAGAACTAAGAGAGGTAATTTAATTTCCCCTCAAATTCAGATAGAATGCCATTAACACTCAATCTTTCATTGAGGACTTATCAGAATCAAGGAACACACCCAAGTTTACCACCTATTGGTATAACTACAAGCCACTGAAAATTCCCAATTTAGCAAAAAAAGCCCAAGTTACAATATTTTAAACCAAAAGGTTTACATATTCTGTTCAGTTAACATCCCCCATGATCCTTCCCAAACTAACCCTTTGATTTTAAAAGAGGAGTGATATATATGTCTACTTTGTATTAAAACTTTTTTGACCATTTCAGAGAGTTAATCAAATTCTCTCTGAATCATTACAAACCGATGCCTATTGCTTCTTTAGAATTACTGTACATTTTTCACAGGAGGGCAGTATTCTCTGTGTATGTGACATAAATGACCAAACAGTTTAAGTGGCTTGCTAGCTAGAACAAGAATGAAATGAGAAGGGATCAGTTTGAAAGACAGAAAAACAAATGAGGCTTTTACTTCCAGGGGGGAAAGATAGTTAAATATTCAGCCAAATTACTGAAATCAGTTTGGCTCAGTGGATAGAGCATAGGCCTGTGGACTGAAGGGTCCCTGGTTTGATTCTGATCAAGGGCATGTACCTTGGTTGCTGGCACATCCCCAGTAGGGGGTGTGCAGGAGGCAGCTGATGGATGTTTCTCTCTCATCGATGTTTCTGACTTTCTATCCATTTCCCTTCCTCTCTGTAAAAAAAAATCAATAAAAAAATATATTTTTTTTAAAAAAATATATATATACACATATACTGCCAAATAAATTCAGGGAGAGCTTTTGTAAACATCATACTTAACAGGCACAAGTTAACAAGGTAAGAGGGTACTTTCCACAAACTTCAAACCTGAATTAAACTCTGAGGAAAAGATATAGACTTGCATTGAAAAGTTCATTGTCCTACCTTTTATTCTTTTTTTTTTTCCCCTTTGAAAAGAAGAGTTCATATTTAGAAATTTTGGATGAAAAAGAACACGAGTAATTTCACAAATTTCTCACTCTGGAGTGATAACAATGAGAAGGAAGCATGAGAAATAATACCCTTAGAGAAAATAGAGAACATTTTTTTCTCTTGCTACAGATGTCAGTTAATAAATAAAATCAAAAGTGGAATATACCAGATATATTATAAAGACTTCAGTGACACTAACAACAGAACAAAAATTAAGATTCTGACCTGTCACATAATAGATTCATTTTATTATCAGATATATTAAAATCTCTGATATATTGCTGTGGAAACAGCATGGCTATAGAACAATATTTTACAGGACTATAGGCTTGGAAACAATTCAAGATATTTAAAAAACTATATCAGTTCTTATGAACTAAAGGTGTTTCATAGCTTTGAAAAATAATCAATTTTCAAATAAAGTGAAGAAACTTCACTTCTTGTCAGTTTAATTTCTGCATGTGGCCCTATGTATTTAATAAAGAAAAATACAACTATCATGTTTTAATATTAATAGAGAATATTAAAAATTTTTTATATTTCATGTCATTTCTATGACAATGGAAAATTAAGAACCTTTAAAAATAGTATTTATTTTTCTTACAAGTATATATCAACATATATACTGTTTTCCCGAAAATAAGACAGTGTCTTATATTAATTTTTTCTCCCAAAGTTGTGCTAGATCTTATTTTCAGGGGATGTCTTATCTTTCCATGCGCTAGGTCTTATTTTCGGAGGATGTCTTATTTTCGGGGAAACACGGTAGTTACAATTTTCTATCAAGTTCCCTAGTTATGAGGACAATCCTTGCTCTGGAAAAATGATGAGAATAGTGAACAAACCTCAAACATTTTGATCACTATGTAGTAAAAGATATTTTGGCATTTATAACTGCTTATTATTTTTTAAAATGTAATTTTGGGAGAAAAATGTTAATTATTTTGGGGCAGAGACTGAAGAAGTCCCAGTGAGACATTCTGTAGAGAGGTCTTTCGTTAGTGTAACATCTGACCTTCTATATCTTTGGAAATCATGCAAGTTGGCTAATGTACTCCTTAAAGAATTAATCAAGTAGATTGTTAGGCCCCAGTTACAGTGGAGCCAGCCAATTATGAGTTGCTCAGAAATTCATCACTGGCATGTCCAACCACATTTTCCCACATAAAGATTAGTAGAAATATGTGGAGACAGGGTCCATTCCCACCCTAGCACAGCGTTCAGTGAAACAAATTTCAACAACGTTTTCCCTTAACAGAAACAATTTATTTGGGAACTTTCTTGTCTTTACTCATAACCACCACCACCCCCCCCCCCCAAAAAAAAAAAAAAAAAAAAAAACATTGCAAAGGCCGCCCTATTCAGTTAAAACTAAACCAGGGATTTTTATATTCAAACACACTTCTGAATTCAGAGCACCAAAGTCACATGCCACAAGCCTGAATTCATCACTGTTATTGAAATCCCCGAAGACCAACACTATCTTCCCACTGCTGTGATAACGCCCTCCCAAGGCTTGCCGAGAAGAAAGCTTTGCACGCAACCGAGAAATGAAAGGGCCAGAGTCGGTGAAGACTGGCTCTCTAAGCAGAGGACAGTGCTGCTCTGGCACAAAGAAGCTCCTTTCAGACAAGCAGAATCAGATCCCAGCCCACTTGTTTGCTGGCTACCCTTACTTTGAACTCTCATATTTAACCCAGCAGGCTTCAAAGCAGGTGAGAAAATGACCTACCACTTAAAAGCAATTTTTTCTTTTTTCAGGAATTCTGGCCTTGGAGAATATCAGCTCTAATATCAGCACATTCCACATCTCCAGGGATTTATGCAATTTTTTTCATTGCTCTATGTCTAATGTCAAATTAAGTTTTATCTCAGCCAGGGAAAAAAAAAAATCAGAAATTAAGTCCTAACTCGCTGAAAATGAGGTCTTATTCCACATTACTTTATTCTACCATACAAAAGAACTTCCTTCTTTTAGAACTAAAATCACAAACCATGTCATTGGTTCCCTTCCATTTATCAAAATCTGATGTGCAGTGTAGATCATTAAAAATCATTGTTCACTAGTGTCTTGCTCTGAGAAAAAGCCATTTTTTTAACAAATACATTTTAACAAATTCAAACTGAATTTACTCTAGCATGTGCGCTAATACAAAAAGATATTAGAAGAGGAAGAGACAATGGTGACAACTAAAAAAATTTACTTAAATTGTTTTGTCTTACTCAACAGAAAAGCAGTATGTTTCCAAGAAAATTCTTTATTCCTTTCTACTATATCTGACTTAATTGAAAATCTTAACAAAGGCAGTTTGAAAACTTACCAATAGGTTCTATTCTATGAGACGTTTGCAATGGCTAGAGGTTGAAACCTTTCTCCACTTTCTGTGGTCCAAATAGACAGAAGGTACGAGAAGTACAGTCCTAACAACACTGTTTACATGTTTGCACCACCATTCACACTGTGGGAAATGCATTTTGAGTTTACACTCAGTACATAGCTCCCCCAAATGTGAAAGGGGTAAGGTCTCCTGCTATAGCTGTGCTTTGGTAATGATGACAGTGGCAACAACAGCTAACACTCACCTCGTTTTTACTATGGGCAGACACGGTACTAAACACTTGACATGTTTTAAACACATTTAACCCTCACACACACAAAAGACCTGTGAGGTAGTACTATTCTCATTTGACAGTGAGGGGGAGGAAAGGTTAAGTACTCAACGTTGCATAGCCAATAAGTGTCAGGGTCAGAATCAAAGAAAAGCAGCCTGGTTCCAGAGCCTCTGCTCATAACCACTCAGCAATGCTGCCCCTTCCGCCTTGCAGAGGTGGTGCTAACCCGATGTTCTAAAATCTTGTGGGGGTAAAGTCGGTTTAATATGCGTATAGGATGGCCTGGGGATCTTGTTACAATGCTGATTCAGGCATCTGGAGCGGTGCCTGAGATTCTGCAATTCTGACAAGTTCCTGGTCATCAGTGGTGATGGTCCCAGTGCACAGAACAAACTTTATTAAGTGGTGGAGATGTAGGATGCGAGCCTCTTATTCCCTTGCTGGCTGGCTGGCTGTAAGAGTCACTTATAGGTTATGTCTATACGCTGGAGACATTCCATACCACAATCATTTTCCATTTATTCTTAAATGGAACCTGCCCTGGGAACTGCTGCATACCGAATATTGGCTTGCAGGTAATTTCAGCAAATACTTAGCTTTTGGGAACTTAAAACATATATATGAAAACCACAGGGACTGGTTGTAAAAGTTTGCTGTCGGGCACATTTTTAACACTATATATCACCAACTATACATATATCAGAAGATAGAAAATAAATGCCTGTTCATTGTTCATCAACCAGAATCACAGTAAATAATATCTTTTGGCCTAAAAAAGGAGCTTCCACTTTAAAATCCTAATAATTCATTCTCAGACTCTACTAGAAGGGTGCCGAGGAGCTTGTGCTTCAAGGCCCTTCTGGTGCATCCGTGATCTCAGGAAGGCAGACACTACCGACCAATACCAATGGCAGCGCTGATGGCGAGTACACGCCACATTCATTTTAGCCAGTGCCTCATGGAAGTACCCACTAACACCTGCCCCATTTCTACTACAGACACTGCCACATCTCCCTCCTTCCCACCGGCCTGACACAAACCCAGTACTGAAGTGGCACTCCCACTGCCTGCCTATGATCTCAAATGCAGAGCTGCGTTTTTTCCCATTGCTACCTGGATGGGATTCCCTTTCCAAGCCATTTTTTTCCATGCTGGATTACACAGTAAGGTCATTCCAGTTTGAGGTGCACTCACTCCATCAGCACCACTGCAAACAACAGAGTTATGGTCTAATCACTGAGCTTCCTTTTACACTAAAAGAAAAGAGGATAGTCAGCTTCCAACCCAAATATCTATAATCCCTGAACAACAGAGAAAGTCATTCTTCTTGAAGCTTGACCCAAAATCAAGTGTGGTCTCAGACTCCTAGGCCTACAGCCAGTGGCAACTTAACACATTATACAGTTGACCTTCAGGGAAAAAGGGAAACCAGTGCTCTTACTACTGGTGCCAGAAGAAAACCAACTAATCTTTAAGGCACAGAACAAACTATTCTTAAGGCAGGAAAAGAAACTGTGAGGAAACAGGGAGTTAGAATGGAGGAATTTGGAGAAGAATATTGAAATCACATTACCAAGTAAGGACTAGTGTTTCCATGGTTCTCAGTGCTCTTCTATTTGGGAATACAGGAATAGTCATTTCTTTTAGGTTTGAACTCTTACCACCTGGTAAACATGCAAAGATGTACAAGAAAGACACTTTTTTTTTAAGGCTTAGAAACTTCACAGGAATTCTCTTTGGTGATTTTACTTTGAGCCAGTGATAGTGATTTAAGTTTATGTAGAAGAGTCAATAGCATGGGACACCCTTTGTAGAATCAGTCCTCAAGTACTTTCTGGCCCTGGATAAGGAGACGGGGAAGTAGTTCAAAACCAAAGTGTAAAAATGAAAATAAAGGTCTACACATGGTTCTACACTCCAGGGCAGGGAAAGTCAATATGCAGATGCTATAACAGGGAGAACTTCTGAGGGACGAGGCACATCTTCCAGTGCGAATGTCCTGACTGTCCCATATTACTTACTTATTCCCCATCTTAGTCGCACTCTTGAATTGAAAGTTCAGCAAATACTCAGAACTAATAATTTCACTTAAATGGAAAAATCAAATGGCTTGTTTATAAAATAGGGGTTATTTTTAAATGCCAAGAAAACGCATTTAAAACAACTGGATTATTCGTTAGCTAGTAACAAGTGCTATGTTTACCACCAAACATGACTTACAAAGACCAACTTTATGATGTTATGCCATTGTTTTCTTCAAACTTTTAAGCAATGAAAATATAGCTCAAATCACTGAAAACGTGTATTTGACATATTTATGGCATCAAGTTTACAAATCAATTCCTGTAATTACTATAACAAGTGTCATCCTCCATACAACTCGTTTAGCACAAACACAGTGGAGATGGTTCCCTGTATGTTTTACAAGTGCTCTACACAAGTCCTTGAGATCATACTTACAGCTTTAGCAAAAACACCCATGATTTCAGGAAACTGGTGTGTGAGAAGAGCTATCATTGCTGTAGAAGAACACAGTCCTGCTGTGAAATAGATGAAAAAAGGAAGCTCCTTCTTTGGGTAAACAGATACTTGATGAAAGGCTGCAAAGGAGAAAAGGGAGAAGTAGGTTTTATTTAAGAATACAGTATGAGCCAGTTTTAATATTTTCAAACAAAATCTATTTTCTAAAACTAAAAACAAAATTAATTAAAAATAAAAAGAACAAGAGGCCTCTGGCTAAGCAAGGCAGAAAAAAGTTATCCATTATTTATTCCAGAATCCACAGGGTATCCACATAGCCGGGGGGCTGTGCTGGCCACTGGAAACAGGATGCCTCGTGGGAAAGAGCACTAATTGTAAAGTCATGCTGAGGTGGTTTTGAAAAAGAGCTTTGTCATTTATTAGCTGTGTGATCTTGAATAAGTTGCTAAACCCTCTATTAGTTGCTAAGGAGTTGTTATGATGAACATTTTAAGCCCTTAATAAATGAGTTATTATAATCCTTGCTCTTTGGAAACTCAGAGGGGAGTGTAGAGATCGAGAGACAGATATATAGTTGGAGATTTCCCAAAACCATCAGCTATTTATTTTACCCACTTCTTCTATACTAGAGGCCCAGAGCACACATTCATGCAAGGGTGAGACCCCTCTGCCTGGCTGACGATCAGGCCCACCTGACCAGTGGCTGGGGAGGGCTCCAGGGCGTGCCTGGCCCCATCTTGCCCAGACCCCATCAGCTGGACCCAAGCAGAGCAAGCTAACCTACTGGTGGAAGCATCTTCCCCCTGGTGGTCAGTGCACGTCATAGCAACCGGACGGTCAACCGCTGGGTCAGATACTTAGCATATTAAGCTTTTATATAGAGAGATGTGGCATTTTATTGAGCAGTATAAAAACTGAACTAGAATACCAAAGCCTAAGGATTCTAAACATAAGTGAAATCCTGTGATTATTTTACTATATTCAAACATTTACTCAGATATTATTTTTCTAGTAATTGGGTACAGTAGGTCCTCGGGTTACACTGGAGATCCATTCCTATGGTGTGACATAACACAATTTTTGCAGTAAGTCAGAACCCACCTACATAAGCTCCAACATCATTCACGTGGAGCACGTACACAGCAGTAATGAACTAAAACAGTAAAAAAAAGTTTAAAAGATAACAATTCCTGACCTTTATTTGTAGTAAATAAATGATAAAAAACATAAAGCACATATGTACATATGTCAAAATGATGGAACTTGTTTTTACATTTACTAATAAAGGTGTTACATATGTGTCCTTTTTCCATTACTCCCTTTATCCCTCCCCCCTCATGCCCTCACCCCCTGTTGTCTGTGTCCATTGGTTATGCTTACATGCATGTATACAAGTCCTTTGGTTGATCTCTCCCCCTTACCCCTTCCCTCCCCTCCCCTCCCTCTGAAGTTTGATGGTGTGATCGATGTTTCTCTGTCTCTAGACCTATTTTTGTTCATCAGTTTATGTTGTTCGTTATATTCCATAAATGAGTGAGATCATATGATATTTATCTTTCTCTGACTGGCTTATTTCACTTAGCATAATGCTCTCCAGTTCCCTCCATGCTGTTGCAGATGGTAAGAACTCCTTCTTTTTTACTGCAGCATAGAAACTTTTTTTTAAATAAATAAATGGGAGATGGCGACGTAACCACAAAATGACATACATGGAGTTCAACGTAACCCGAGGACTTAGCCTGTACTTCATTACCAATGGTATTCAAGCACTTATATTTTATTTGAAATTTGAAAATACTTGTATAACAATGCTAAGATGAGCCTATGGCAATGCTTGGCACTCAGTAGGTGGTCAATAAATGTCTACTGAACTGAAAGCTATTCTGGGGCTTCATCAGTCCAGGAAGTTGACTGCTCCAAGCTGGATGCAAACCCGAGGAATTCCTAATGTAATATCCTGCATAAGTAAAGGATGACTAATTCAGTGCTGAATCAAGGTCAGCTATAAATTTCACTTCTTTAAACATAATGATTCACAAAACATATTACACCTAAGTTTCCTTCAGTAGACATGATATTTTTAGGTCCTACACTATATTCAGAAAGTGAAGACCCAAAATCAAACTCATTAAAAATCCAAAAAATATCCAGGGCCTTGAGTCATGTTAAAAGTGAAAGCACAACAAATTTGGCTTTTTTAAAAAGTTAGGAACATTAGAAACTGTGGACAACACTGTGCTTTCAGCACCCAAAAACAGCATTCCCTGTGGCCCATCTCTCAGCCATGAGAGGCCAACCTCTTCAAGCAAACCATGAAAACTAAACCATGGCGTTTTCAAAGATGGGAAAAAACAATTACGGATACCAATGGTTACTATACTTGATATCATTTGAGATACAGCAAAATTAATAATATTAATTATACTGTACAGCATTTTATGGTTTATAAAGTGCCTTTTCATTTATATTACTTTTTTATCTTTTAATGTAAAAGTAATATAAATTACTAAGAAATAGTATTATTCCCACTTTATAAGGTAGGAAACTGTATAGTTTTAGTAAGTTGATTTCCTAAAATATGAGATTTTTATACTGTAGAAGAGACCTAATTATTTATTGCTTTCTGTAGATTCATTTCAGTCAATGTTTAGCTAATACATCAATATAATGGATGACTAGTACAGAAACACTCCCTTGGAAGTAAGTTCAAATTTCATCACTGGCTTGTAGAGAAAAATTTATCAGGAGGCATAAAAGACAACCAAAGAGCTATGTGAACTAAGGGAATAGTTCAAGTCTGAACTTATGAGGCTCATAAGCAAATTCCAGAATGCTGTAAGTCATATCAAGGTTGAAGGAGAATTGAAAACAAAAAATATTAAGTACTCCTGAGTATTAGAACTCCACATTATTAAAAATGTGTTCATTCTATCACAGACAGAGACAGAAAAAATACTCTAAGAACATGCAATATAATAAATCCCTGGAATTTGCATATGAGTCGCACCCTAGAAATAATAAAGTCCTGCCGAGAAGCAACTGTCTATTCTCATAGCCTATGGCTCTGACAATACCTGATAATGACCCTGGTTTTAGTCATATAATTACTCTGTAAAGTTAGCTTTATATTAGGCAACCTTTGTAATGATTTTGCAGACATTATTTTAGGCTAAATGTATTAGCTTAATATAATACACTCTTAAATATTGATGCTCCATAATTAAAAATGTTCCTTTGCCTTAAATATCTTTGTTCCTGTTAAAATGGAAAAACAATAATAATTATTACCACTATCATCCTAAGAAAGAAAATTTCTCACCCATGACCTGCTAATTGCTAAAGTCAATGGATTCCTCTCAGTAATTACATACCTTACTTAATCTCTCAGATACTCCTCCTTACTTGGAAATATTTTCCTCCTCTTAGTTTCTAGGATATCTGCCTCTGGCTCTCTGACCACTCCTTCACTGAGCCTTCCAGACTCCTTATCAGTCACTCATTCCTGAGACATTTTTGTGCCCTCACGGTTCCACCCTTAGTTTACTTCTCACTCTTAGCTTCCCTTAGTGATCTCATTCATGCCTCGAAAATTATGACTGTATAATAAAATATTTCATTTTATATGAACATGTATATCTGTCTATATGGGTGAGATGTAATGCATGCAACATACTCAAAGCCTGAACTCATTTACTCCCCCACCATCCCACCGCCTCCCCACCTATTCCCAAACCTGCTTCTCCTGCTATATGATGGATTTACCATTCAAGTCACCCAAGTCAGATTTAGGAATCATCCCTGACCTTGGAGATCGAGGCATTCCCCATTCCAGCTTCCTGATAATCTATTCCATACACACAGCACTCAACTCATTGTTTATTAGTCTTTCTATTAACCTGTGAGCATCTTAGGAGTTCAGAACAGGCTAAGGAAGAAAAGGTAGTAATAGTTAACATTTCTATTGAGTACTTATAATGATCTTGGCATGTTTATAAGAATAAATTAATAAACATGACTAATTCAAGTAATATATTTTTTTTAATTTTTCTTGCTCCATATAGACCAAATTTTAAAAATATATATTTTATTGATTTTTCACAGAGTGGAAGAGAGAGGGATAGAGAGTTAGAAACATCGATGAGAGAGAAACATCAACCAGTTGCCTCTTGCACACCCCCTACTGGGGATGTGCCTGCAACCAAGGTACATGCCCTTGACCGGAATCGAACCCGGGACCTTTCAGTCCGCAGGCCGATGCTCTATCCACTGAGCCGAACCAGTCCTGGCTCAAGTAATATTTCTTGAAAATCAATTTTATGGTGAATGTTACAGATACATAGAGGGACTTGAAAATCAATTCTATGGTGAATGTTATAGATACATAGAGGGACAATAAAGAGAGTCCTGGCTTTCAAGCTTAAAATCTAGAAGGGAAGATTAAGAAGTACACAAAATACTAGTACTTTGATAGTTCAAAGAAAGGAGAGATAACTTATCTCTGAGCATGGAGGAAAATAAAAGACCCTGCAAGAAAAATATCAGCACCCAACTTCTAAAATCTCTCCTAAATTGTCATTTGTTGTTTGAACTTCTCAGCTTATTAGGTTTGATGCTTGTGAAACTGCAACTTTCCTCCCCAGACTTCAATTCTAATGGCTCCAGAACTGTAAAAACTGTGGCACAGGTTTAAGTCACATAAGGAAACATGGTACTAGTGTTTACTAACCTTCAGGTTCATTGGTTAAATCATAAAAAGAAAAGTTTAGAAGAAATATATCAGTTCAGAGAAAAACAGTGAGTGGATGATAGGGCCTGAGACAAAAAATACGGACTTACTTTGAGAGCTCAGCATCCTGAGAGCAAGAATGAGCCAGAAACGCTCTCAGCATTCTAACCCTACCCAGTTCAGTTCTTCTAACTTTCAGCTGACTTTTTTTTAAATTGGGAAGGGTAGTCTGTCCAACTTCATTTTTCTTTGTAAAGACTTCTTTGCCTCTTTTGGGTCCTTTAATTTTCCCTACAAATGTTCTAATTAGCTTGTCAATTTTTGCAAAATCCCTGCTGGGATTTTGATAAGGAGTGTATTAAATCAGATCAATTTGGAGAGAATTGACATATAAATAATGTTGGGTCTTCCATTCTATAAACATGGAATGTCTCTCCATTTATTCAGATATTCTTTAATTCCTCTAAGAAATATTTTATAATTTCTGGGGTACAAATCTTTCACATCTTTTGTTAAATTTATTACTAAGTTGTTTATTCTTTTTTATGCTACTGTGATTAGAATTAGACATTTTATTATTTTTTTTAATAAATATATTTTATTGATTTTTTACAGAGAGGAAGGAAGAGGTATAGAGAGTTAGAAACATCGATGAGAGAGAATCATCGATCAGCTGCTTCCTGCACACCCCTCACTGGGAATGTGCCTGCAACCAAGTTACATGCTCTTGACCGGAACCAAATCTGGGACTTTCAATCCCCAGGCCAATACTCTATCCACTGAGCCAAACCGGTTTCAGCTAATTAGACATTTTAGTTCTGTACTGTTCATTGCTAGTAAAAAAAATGTAATTGAATTCTGTATGCAAACTTACTGAACTTGTTTATTAGTTCTAGTAGTGTTTCTATGGAGTGCTTAGAATTTCCTACATGGAAAGTCATGTCATCTGTGAATAAAACAGTTTCACTTCTTCCTTTCCAACATACCGGTAAATGCCTTTTATTTCTTTTATTTCCTTGAACTGAAGTCCAGGGAAGAAAGTTGCAGATCTCCAAATTGATCTATAAGTTTAATATAATCCTTACTTAGGGGTTTTGCACTGACCAGACCCTCCAGGACAATGCTGAGTAGAATGGTGAGAGCAGACATCCTTGCCTTGTTCCTGATCTTAGAGAAAGCAGTCTTCCACTATCAAGTATGGTGTTAGCTGTGGATTTTTCGTATATGCTCTTTATCAGACTAAGAAAGTTCCCTTTTATGCCTACTTTGTTCAGAATTTTATATTAAATTTGCTAATTTTGGTTAAAGATGTTTATGTCTATATTCATGAAGAATACTGTTCCATAGTTTCCTTTTCGTATACTGTCTTTGTCTGGATTTGGTATCACAAAATGAGTTGGAAGTGTTCTTTCTTCCTTTATTTTCCAGAAAAGAGTCTGTGAAACATTGATATTATTTCTTTCTTAACTGTTTATAATATGCCTTCCCTTTTTTTTTTTTAATATATATTTTATTGATTTTTTACAGAGAGGAGGAGAGAGGGATAGAGAGCTAGAAATGTCGATGAGAGAGAAACACCGACCAGCTGCCTCTTGCACACCCCCTACCGGGGATGCACCCGCAACCAATGTACATGCCCTTGACTGGAATCAAACCCGGAACCTTTCAGTCCACAGACTGATGCTCTACCACTGAGCCAAACCGGTTTTGGCTGCCTTCCCTTTTTAATATATTTAATCTTTGTGTCCTTCACTGCATCTAGCACAAGGTTTTAGTCCAAAAATATTTGAGAATTATTATATTATGCAAGTACATCTAAGAAATGGCTAAAATAATATTTAAACAGTATCCTGAAGTTCATCTCACAACTACTTTTTTTAAATCTTAAAAAAAAAAAAAATGTTTTTGTTGATTTATTTATTTATTTTAGAGAGAAAGGAAGGGAGAGGGAGAGAAACATTGATGTGAGAAAAAAACATCAATCTTGGTTGCCTCCCTTATGCACCGCTACTGGGGACTGAACCCACAACCTGGGTATGTGCCATGACCAGGAATCGAACCAGAGACCTTCAATGCATGGGTCGATGCTCAACCAACTTAGCCATACCAGCCAGAGTTCACTACTGTTTTTAAGTATAGGAAAACTAGAATATTTACTTACTAGGTAATAGCTCCTTATCAGCAGTTTCTGTGCAGCTGGGATAAGGGTGAAATAGATGGCCTTTCTCTAATGGGTATGGAATCATTCTAAAAGCTGAGGAGAAAAAAAAACATGTGGATGTTCAATTGAGACTCATTTTCATCTTATATTATCTATCAAAGCTATTTTTAAGATATTTTATAGATTTTTCACATAACATTTTCTTTTCTTTTTTAGAGATAAAATTTTGATGAAACAAGATAAGCAAAATAATGAATGAAAGGGAAAATAAGTTTTATTTAGAGAATAGTGAATTGTCAAATTAGAATAAAACTAAAGGGAGCTAATGAATAAACTGAACTAACAAGCAAAATAGACACAGATTCATAGAGATCGAGCCTAAACTGGCAGTTGGACATCCCTCTCACAATCAGGGACAACTGGCTGGCTCCTAACTGCTCATCTGCATGCCTGACGGCCCATAACCACCCTGCCTGCCGAACTGCTCGCCCAGAACTGCAATCCCTACCAGCCTTCTCACTCCCAATTGCCCCCACTTGCTGGCCTGATCACCCTCCATCTAACCCCCCACCAGCCAGCTCGCTCCCAACTGCCCACCCCCCATCAGCCTGATCACCCCCAACTGCCCTCCCCTCCTGGCCTGATTGCCCCTAACCACCTCTGCCTCGGCCCCGCCACTATGGCTTTGTCCAGAAGGACTTTTGGAAGGTCTCCCAGTCTAATTAGCATGTTACCCCATTATTAGTATAGAGGCCTGGTACGCAGGAGGCCAGCGGGTCTGCCCTAAAGGGGGTCTCCTTGGGGGGCAGAGCTGGCCTGAGCAAGGGGCCTGGGGCAGTTTGCAGGCCATTCCCTGGGGCTGTGGCCAGCCTGGATAAGGGGCAAGGGGCCATTTGGGGATGATTTGCAGTCCGACCAAGCCCCTGGCTTTGTCCAGAAGGACATCCGAAAGGTCTCCAGAAGGTCTCCTGGTTTAATTAGCATATTACTCTCTTATTAGTATAGATGTATTTTACCACAATTAAAAATTTTTAAAAATAAGAGTTGATATTAGTTGTGATGAAAATAGTTTCATGCTGTACACATCTGAAAATAAAGCAAAACCATTGTCCAATTTTTTAAAATATTAGAATAGCTCAACTACATCAAAAAGCTCATAAAACAAGAATGATGAGTTATTTTCTTTCCTAAAAATGTACAATTTAAATGGACATATGGCAAAATAGCATAACAGTTTCTCATTCAGCTTTCCCTAAATGTGGCACCAAGTACATTAAACATCTCTTCTACCAATAAACCAAATTAACACCACTGAGTTCACACTGAAATCGATTTGATCAACAAATCCTTATGGAAACTCAGACGCTCTCACTTAAAACGGCTGCCTGTGAACGCAGTGACCTGTCAGAGGATCGGGGTTACATTTGGAGAACAATACTTACTGCCTTCCCACGTGCACTGTAACAGATTGAGAGCACCTTCTATTCGCTTCCAGTGCTGAAGGTGAAAGAAAGCATAGGCAACTGCTTCACTGTCCCCCCGTTTCTGAATGTGTTCTGGAGGTAAAATCAGACTTTTCATCTCTAGCAAATACTAGAAAAATAACACACACACACACGTAGACACATCACACAAAAAAGAAAAATTATGTTAAGTTCAAACACCCACAAAAATGTAGATTCTAATTTTATAAAGTCAGTTTTACTTAAAAAACAATCAATTATTAAGCTAATTGAAATGACATTAAGGTCCTACTGATAAGTGTGTACAAACATTAAGGTCCTACTGATGAATGTGTATAAAATGCTTTGTGAGCAAATTCCAATGACAGCATTATTCCTATAGGTAAAAATAAGGTGATAAATGGCAAATATGTGACCTTGTTAAATACAAAATGGAAACTTCAAGTGAAGAAATAATATGAGAGCAAATAATTATTTTTTTCAAATACCAATTAAGGGTAAAAAATAGAAACTACAGTTTTGGCACAACACTTTGTGGCAACATTTAATTATTTTTTTCTCATTCTCATTTTATAGTAAAGGAACTTAATTATGAAGAAGTTCAACTGAACTAATATTTACTGAAAGCAAAGCATTTGCTTGTTAAGAAATACCAACAACAAAAAAATTACTCTATTTTTTTTTTTTTTTTTGGAACTTCCTAATGCAATGACAAAGACAGATTGCTTAAGTTAATAATTATGGCTAGACAGTGCTAAATGTTTTATTAGAGGTATAAACAATGTTTACAGGAATATGGATAGGAGGTATTCATTTTTTAAACTTAGTTTTTTAACTGCTTTATTGAGATATAATTTAAAATTTATTGAGATATACTTTACAATTCATCCACTTAAAATATAGTTCAATGGTATTTAGAATATTCACATATATGTGCCAACCATCACTTCATAAGGAAACTCTTGTACTCTTTAGTTACCACCCTCAACTCTGTCATTCCCACTAAGCCCTGAGCAACCATGAATCTCCTTTCTGTCTCTATAGATTTATCTTTTCTGGCAAATCTATATAAACAGAATCACATAATATATGGTCTTTTGTAACTGGTTTCTTTCACTTAGTAGAATGTTTTCAAGGTGTATACATGTTGCAGCATGTATCAGTCCCTCATTCCTTTTTGTGGCTGAATAATATTCCATTGTGTGGATATAATATATTAGTTTATCCATTCATCATCTGATGGACATTTGGTAACTTTCACCTTTAGGCTATTTGAATAATGCTGCCAAAAACATCCTCATACCAGTTTTTATGTGAACATCTGCTTTTCTCTCTCTTGGATATATGCCTAGGAATGGAATTGCTGGGTCGTACGGTAATTCCACGTTTAGGAGGTACTACTTCTGCTTTAGGGGCTGAAAATAAACCTCTTGCTGGAATTTGGGATTGGAGCTGATACATAAAGTTGGATGGAATGTGGATGGGCAGATTGGGGGTGGGTGGGAGAAGAACAGGAGGACACAGGCAAAGTACAGGACCACCTTAAGCAAAGGCACTGAGCCGAGAGAACAAGATGCCCTGTGGGATCAGTGAGGTGCTTGTTAAAGAAGCTGGAGCCTGTGAGTTCTTATTCAAAGATGAAATGAAAGTCTACCTGAAATTCTTGAAGAACATGTTTTCCTTAATTTTATAATCCATTACAAAATCAGTATTAACACAGTTATTACACTAACCAACTTCATATACTAATTACACGAGGATACAAAATTAATCATTTGAACATCATCTTTATATAAAGTGGTCAACTGAAAACAAACTTTTAGTTAGCTAAATACTTTCTGCAAATACTTCCCCTACTAAAAGAGATTAGAAAAGACCTCTTTAGTTTTAAATAACTCGATGCTGTTATGTATATAAGGTCCAAACAACATTAACTTCTGTTTTAAAATAAAGAGAAACATGCCAGAGGTGTCTCAAAATATATATTCTCACATTTCAAAATCTAAATTCCTCAGACTATTCCACAACTAATGAGATAAATAACATAAATTAGTTGAATTTGTGAAACATTTTGTAAAACTGCTACAAGCAGGAAAAATCTTAAAAACAAAAAAGTGCAGTTGTTTCAAAATTTAAGCCTTAGGTTATTAATATATATATATATATATATATATATATTTTTTTTTTATATAAATCATTTTCTTATGAAATGTGTTTTCCACAGTTGAGTTTAATGCTTATCTTTAATGACTCTTACTCCTATACCTCAATATAGCTGAAATTAAAAAAAAGAAAAAAGAATGACTTAGTTTTGATGTAGCCAGCCCCCTCCTCAAAGTGTAAGAATGCAATTTGCTAATCAATTTCCTTTAGCAGATGTCACAAGCTATGAGATTATTTACTAATCCAGTTTGGGGACTTACCACTTCCCATTCAGTTTCTTAAAGGAATGCAGCAGAGGCTGTGTCCTGGTCAAGCAAAGCCCATTTGCTGCCTGGTTGGCTTTTCTCCCCTGAGAGCCCTGGGCCTATATTCAAGAGGGTCCTATTCTTCCTAATCCTCTCTAATCCTTGCCCGTTTTTTTAAAACACAGTAAAATATCACTCGCACCAGGCAGCTGTGGGAAAATGGACTCAAATAGCTGACCTCTGACATGACTGCTTGTGCTCTTTGTGAGTGCACAGGGAGCTTCTTCAGTAGGAAGCGAAGAAAACGCAGCAACCCAGTGAGACCTCCATCATAAAAGAGAGAATCCCATTTTCAGAAAAACACTGCTTAATACCTAAGCCAACTCATTTCTATTAAAATTCTGCCTTATTTTACAGATAGAGACAAAATATACCAAATTATTTTCACTGAATTTTAGAATCCTGAAGTTTTAAACTAACCCTGTCTTTGTAGCCACTTAGCAAGAAAATACTTTGTGATCAACAACTATAATGTGCCTTTTTGCTGTTCAATAATCTAAGTGACAATTTGGATAGTAAACAAACACACATGGCATGCTTATTAGAAAATACTTCAGGAGTTTATATTTTAAAATCTTTGTCATTAAAAAGTCTTCTTTGTGCTACCTTATTTTTTTATTATGTTCTTTCCAATGTGACTTTAAAACAAAGCAAACCTTACTTTTCAGTTTCCTATAAGATACCAAGATAAAATTTCACCCTCAAAATATAAGGGAAATTTTCAGTTTAAGGAAAATAAATTTAAAGAAGGAAATTATAGGATTATGACTTATTTTCTCTTCTTCACAAACTGCTACTCAGGAATTTCTGCTAAGAGGGAAACATACAGACAAAAAGAAAAGATATGATCACGGCACTAAAAGAACAGAGAGGAGAGAGCCGTTGTCTCTGCTTGGGAAAAGTGAGAAAGGTGCTTCTATAAAGGAGGCCGCAGATAAGCGGGGCTTTGAAGAGTGAGAATACTGGCAGGGAAGAGATGGAGCATATGTACAAGGGAGGGAGGAATGATAAGACATGACCAATCCAGGAGACAGTGATGCTGGAGATAAGGAACAAGGCAGATATGGCCAGGAGTAAGGCTGGAGATAGAAAACGGGCCCACCCTGTGAAGGGCTTCCATAGACTCGTTGTTTAAGGGACTGGTCCTTATCTTATAGGGGTGATGGGGAACAGGCAGAGCTCTTTAGCAGAGTGATATTTGCTGTTTAAGTAGATAATTTTGGCAATAACCAGAGTAGAGAGGGGTTGTTGGCAGGGAGGCCAGTGAAGAATCTGGCTTTTTTGTTGTTGTAAATCCTTACACAAGGATATGTTTTCCAGTGATTTTGAGAGAGAGTTGAAGGGAGGGAGGAGGAGAGAGAAACATTTTTGTGAGTATTCAGGGAACAAATCTGCAACCTAGGTTTGTGCTCTTGACCAGGAATCAAGCCTACAACCCTTGGGTGTGCAGGCCAATGCTCTACCATTGAGCTACATGGCCAGGGTGAGAAATCTGTTTTAAGGGTGCAAGCAAATTTGGTAAATATCTATAAATAATTAAAAAAATAAGCCAAGCTCCTTGCATAAATTTTGTGCACTGGGCCTCTAGTATATATATATTTAGAAATGCTTAAAAAATGACTGGCATTAAATAAATCAAACAGAAACTGTGATTATTTAAGAGAAGTAGAATTGAAAGGGAAAAACAAGATAAATTTTACTTTACAAACTTTTGAGGGGTCTGAATTTTTTGTAAAATGTGCCCATTACTTAATAATAATAATAATAATAATAATAATAATAATATTTTTTTAAAGAATAGACAGTGAAGGTGCAAGATGGTGACCATGGGGGTGGAGTAAATGGCTAAATCTGAAAGACATATCCAAGGTTACAATACAAGTTGGTAATTTGGAAAGGGCAGAAGAAAAGGTTAATGAGGAGAAAAGGATAATGAAGTATTAGAATATTTAACTAAGAAAGGATAGGCAAGTTGAAGAAAAGACTTAAGTTTTTAAAAATTCAATTGCAGACACATTAAAGTATCTGAAATATCTATTAGGTATCCAGTTAAAATTTTTCATAACTAGACAGAAATGCAAGTCTATAGATGATGAAGCCAGAGTTAGAAGATACAGATTTGAAAATTATCAATAAATAAAACTGAGTGGGAGACATAATCCAAGGCTGGTACCTAGTATGTGCTATAGGACCTTCCATATTACCTCCAAATCACCTTCCGGTCATGTATCGAATAAATCAGAAACTGCTTGTGACAATTTTAACTAGTATTAAACTATGGACAATATAATATACTCAAATAACTATTCATGCCTCTTGCTTTTCCCTAAAAATATAAAAAGTTAAGGCTACCCTGGAAGCTCTAAAAAAGACATAACGATGTATGGTCTGATGGTTTCTCTTATAACTCTAAAACCATGCCTTTGCTTATACTCAAATTCACTTTAATTTTGAATTGCTTTGATCTTTATAATTTATCTTTAGATTACTTTTTTTCTACTACTTTGTAAATCTTACAACAGCTTTTGACCAAAAGCAATATAATTCTGACCTGAAGTAATGATAATGCTTTATAATCTTCCTCTTAAAAGCAGAAGGTTAAAGAAAAATCTCTTGAAGGCATCTGAAATTAAGGTACTTTGGTCTTGATCAGTCATGCACA